ATACATTATACCTCATGTAAACAAAATCAACATAATAATAAATGAGGGGTAAAATTATACATCTATACAAAAAAATTTCTCTCAGTGCCTTATAAATAGGACCAAAAAATATCTTTTCTCTCTGTCCTATAAATAGGATCAGAGGAGTATATCTCTCGCAGTTTTCTGGCTAAATTCTTTCACCGAGATGTCTAGACAATTAAGTTTCATTTTGCAGAGTTTTACAAATAAAGTGGAATTTATAAATTTAAAAAGTTCTCCTACCTCGCATGCCTTTAGGAATCAGTTTAAGTGTCTATCACCTTAATCAACATCCTAAGCTCATCAAATTGGACCATTTATATCTGATTTGAATAGTCCAAACTTAAAATCTTTAATTAATTATTTTTAAATAGAAAAATCTTTTTTTTTAAAGAATGACAGTTAACAAAATTATCTTTATTTTAGATTCTAGACAAATTAAAATGACTATTTTGAACAAATAAAAAAAAAATCAAATATGGACCATCTAAATAAGATGTGAATGATATAAATCTGATAAACTTAGAGTGTTCATCAAAATGATAAGTACCGAATCTGATTCCGCCTCGTATGATAGTCATTTGGGATGAACTCTTTCACTCAACCGTTGAATTTGAAAATATTTTTCCTGTGGCATTTGCTTACTGAACTTCAACTGGAAAGACGTTGAAGAAAGAATAGTGAACCACCTGAAAGTTCTGTGATGGTTGTTGCAGCCTATCTTTTGAAGCCTAAGAGACCCTCATGTCATGAGACCAAGAGCGCCATGGAACAGGCTTTGGCCCCAGCGAAGGCGTTGTTCCGTGGGGAGCAACTGCTCTCTAAGAACCAAAAATCGTTTGAGAAAATACTCTTCAGATCCAGACTCTAATTAGTTTGCTGCCAGCGTTTGCAACTCGCAAGTTTTAGGCGATGATCTCTCCGCCAAGTTATCAAATTTCATTTGCCCCTTCCTGAGTTTGCTCTTGTACTTTTATTTCTCTTAAATGTCCTTTTGTCCAGTCTGGCTACTGCTGTGTAAGAAGTTTCACGCTTCTGCTGTATGAATAAGAGGGCTCTATTTTTATCCTATTCTTTCTCTACTTACGTTCATCCTTGCATTGTTTGGAATCAATTAAGAACCACATAGATGACACGATGAGAAAATATATAAACCATCACCATAAAATCTGTTACATGGATATTAGATATTTGTAATCGTGATTTGGATCTGGAGTCTTTTGCAAGTTCATGGTATAGACATCAAATCCAGTTTCTGCTGGCCAGCAAAGCAGAAACCGGAATTCGAAGTTTGACGCATGGCGTTGTTTGAAGCGGAGCAGCTACCCTCCGAGACCCAAAAATTGTTTGCGAAATTAAAGTACTCTAATTTGCAACTCGCATATGATAATCTTAAGTTTTACTACCTCGATATAGTATCCATCTAACTTATTTGAAGAAATTAACAAAGCAAAAAAGATTGTTAATTTATAATATATTACTTCCGGTTTTTAATATAAGAGTTAATTTAACGTTCAATTATATCCTAAATATAAGATTACAATCCACCACAGGCAGTATGTTACATGATTTCTCTATCATTAGATTATATATCAATTTATAAGCCAGACAAATTAATTTTAAAAAAATGATAAATATAATATTTTAAAACTATTTATTTAACTTTCTTAACATTCTTAAATTAGTCAATTGAGTTTAATATTAATAACCAGGGATAGTAGGTTATGAACGTGTTTCAATAGCGTTGCGCGTAGTAGTTTTATTTGTTTAAATCTCCTTTTGTTCATCAATCTTCTGGTGTGCAAGAAGTTTCTTGCTTCTACTATACGAAAAAAGAAACTAGTTTTGATGCTTATCAGTTTAATGGGTATCCTAAACTCATCAGATCTAAACCATCTATATCTCATTTGGATAGTCTGGATTTTTTTTTATGTTTATTTGTTCAAAATAATTATTTTAATATGTATAGAATTCAAAATAAAGATAATATCTTAACTATCTTTTTTTAAAAAAAATAATTTTTCTATTTAAAATAATTAACTAAAGATTTTAAATCTGGATTATTCAAATTAGATATAAATGGTTCAAACGAATAAAAAGACTTTGTTTGATCTTGGACTCTGCTTCTTTTATTATTGTTAGATCTCTAATAATCGAGTTTTTGTTTGATATATACATGAGTTTGATAATATCCAGACGTGTATGTTAAATAATTCACCAATTCCCTTTTCCAAAAGTGCTTGCAGTTGGGATTTTTTTTTCTCCTTCCCTTTCCTTCTTTCAAGATATATTCTTAATTGCCATTTGCCACCACCAATGCGAGCTTTAATTTGCTAGGTGTATGTTGCCTTTTTTTATTAAGTTTGTACTCTCTCTGATCCCTTACATAGATTGTGTCTTTTAGAAAGAATTAATGGTTTTATAGAAATCACCTGGTGAGACTTTAATTATTTTTAAGAAAAATATTTTCCTTATTGCAATTTAATAAGAATGTATATAAAAATAAAATTTAAAAAACTGTTTTTTTTAAAGTCAATGAATCAACTATTAGAAGTGAGCTATAATTTCCATAAAAAAAAAGGAGTTATAATAAAAACTGAATAAAGGAGTAATATTAATAACACTATATATTTTTTTATTGGTGAAAAAAGGCAATACTCATAGAAATTAGAAATTCAATTTATTGACTAAAGGCCAGGCGTACCATTATTTTTATATTGTGAATTAGCGATGCAGAGTTGATCCCCAAAAGTAGGGGGAGAGGAGAAATCAACTTTAATCACTTCTTGTCATTTGAATACACAATTGAAGAAAATTTTTTCTTACAAAAAAATTTATAGATGAATTAGGTCCTAAGGCTTATGAGGGTCGGAACTCACACTACAAAAAAATAGACTTTAGGCGACGACTTTCGGCGGCGACAAAAAAAGTCGCCGCTGAAAGTTGGCCATTGAAACCAAGACTTTCAGCGGCGACAAAAGTGTCGCCGCTGAAAGTGGACCTTCAGCGGCGACTTTTTTTGTCGCCGCCAAAAGTGGACTTTCAGCGGCAACTTTTTTTGTCGCTGCTGAAAGTATAATATAATAATATATATTTTATTTTACAATATTAATAAACAAATTGTCAAAAATGGACCTTCAGCGGCGACTTTTTTGTCGCCGCCGAAAGTGGACCTTCAGCGGCGACTTTTTTTGTCGCCGCCGAAAGTGGACCTTCAGCGGCGACTTTTTTTGTCGCCGCCGAAAGTGGACCTTCAGCGGCGACTTTTTTTGTCGCCGCTGAAAGTATAATATAATAATATATATTTTATTTTACAATATTAATAAACAAATTGTCAAAAATGGACCTTCAGCGGCGACTTTTTTTGTCGCCGCCGAAAGTGGACCTTCAGCGGCGACTTTTTTGTCGCCGCTGAAAGTGGACCTTCAGCGGCGACTTTTTGTCGCTGCCAAAAGTGGACCTTCAACGGTGACTTTTTTCGTCGCCGCTGAAAGTATAATATAATAATATATACTTTATTTTACAATATTAATAAACAAATTGCCGAAAATGGACCTTCAGCGGCGACTTTTTTTGTCGCCGCTGAAAGTATAATATAATAATATATATTTTATTTTACAATATTAATAAACAAATTCAATCTGGCTCAGCGGCAAGAAGGTTGGACACGAAGGGAGGCGGTCACGAGTTCGAACCTGGAAGAAGACACATTTAAGGTGAAAATATTTAGACGATGACGTGGCGAGGAGGAGTGACGTGGCAATGACGTGGAGGTGGCTAGTGATGATGTGGCGGTCGGCGGTGATGACGTGGCCGCCGATGGCGATGACGTGGAGGTCGACGGTGCTGACGTGGCGGCCGGAGACGATGACGTGGCACCGGCGGTGATGACTTGGCATTGGTAAAGCCAATTCCTATTAGGCATTACTTTCAGCGGCGACAAAAAAGTCGCCGCAGAAAACACTTTCGGCGGCGACAAGAGTGTCGCCGCCGAAAGTGTTTTCTGCGGCGACTTTTTTGTCGCCGCCGAAAGTGTTTTCGGCGGCGACATTTGTCGCTGCTGAAACTTCTAAAAGTCGCCGCTGAAAGTATCTTTTAACGGCGACCTTTTTAGTCGCCACTGAAAGTTTTCAACCACGGCTGCTACGGCAACGACTTTTCAGCGGCAACTTGTCGCCGCAAAAAACTTTCGGCGGCGACTTTTGTACTTTCAGCGGCGACTTTTGTCGCCGCTGAAAGTCAATTTTTTTGTAGTGTCAGAACATACCTCTATATTCAAAAAGTATTTATAGAAATATTTATAGATTATTTATCAATAAAGTTCTCACAATTTTATGAGTTATAAGCCTATTACTTACTAACAAAACCAACTCTTAGGTATAATTGAAGAAATGTTAAAAGGGGAAAAGTCAACAAAGCAAAGCAAAAGACCCATTGTACTGACTGGCAAATGGCTAGGGCCACCTCCGTATTAAAGGCCCACTCCATCATCAGTCATATCTACCCACCCTTCTGGCAATATATATATATATATATATATATATATATCTTGAGTTGGATAGCTTGGTCTTACCTATAGAAAACTCAATGTTCTCCTCACGTTTGCTTATCAGTCCAGATATTTCAGAAGCTGCACATTTTATCAACAACTATGTTGCTGGCATTATTAAAGCCATGTTTGAAACTTTACATACGGATTCTTATTAACTTAGTTTCAAATTGTCTGTAGACTCTGAGCTGTTGGGATTGATGAGGACCAAAAGCCAGAACGACTGGCACATTATTCAGCACTGACTATAGCGGGCGAGATTCTCGCGATCCGTGATCACCGTTAGCTTGCTGATCTGATCCATAGACCCCCTATGCGTGAGCATTTATAGTGTTCATTGTTAGCCTACGTAGAAAATGATGTTGTTGGCATTCACATTTTGAAAGTGATGTTGTTAACGGGGTGTCTTTGAGATCAGGAAGTTGAGGTAATGGTGCTGCCTGATTTAGTGGACTTACAGGGGGACCGTGAGTGGACTTATCTTGCATGCAAGTGTTGTGGTAAGAAGGCTTCTCTAGATGGCCATGGATATTTCTGCGAGAAGTGCAATACGGTGGTCAAGTATGTTATTCCTAGGTTAGTCTTAATAGTCTAGCAATGGAGGTGATTGTCATTTGGATGTCTCTATGGTCACGGCTACTATATACAGTTTGTTAGTCTTTTTTTGCCAGATACATGGTCACAGCAGAAGTTGTGGATGACTCTGGATCATGTCACTTTTTGATCTTTAATCGTGAGTTTCAGAAGTTGGCTGGATGCCTTGCCTCTGAGCTCAAGGAGCATGCCCACCAACAAAATGTAAGATTTCTCATAATATTACCGTTCCTCAATGTGAGGGGTTTTTGAGTTTGCGGTAATGATGTAATATTTGATATGTTCTAAGTGTTGACTTGGCCTTATGTGATTGAGGCTGTGTTTGGGTGACACCCCAAACCATGGTTTGGGGAATAAATCACCCAAACATCCACCAAAAAACCAAAACCATGGTTTTAGAAAAAGCAAAAAATTTTTGCTTTTGGAGAAAAAAGAGAGAGTGTGAGAGCCTATAGGATATGTATCTTGTTATTTTTTTTATAAACATATTTTTTTATAAACATATTTAATCTTATATTTTATAAATATATATACATATTAATTATTTATTAATTATATTATCTTATGTATTATTAATTATGTTAATAAAATATATATTATTAACAATTTTATTTCTTCAAATTAAAATATATCATAAAATCTATTTTTTCTGTAATTATCATATTAACTTATGTCTTTTTTTTAGTAATTTGTATATATAAAAAATGCTTCTGATAACAACTATCCAAACACTCTCACTTCTCAAAATCACTTTTTCATAAAATCTATTCTTTCCAGAATCTATTCTTCCCAGAATCTATTCTCCAGAATCACTTTTCCAAACCACGGTTTGGTTTCATCCAAACACACCCTAAATGTAGCTTGAAAATTGCTTCCTGAAGATGTGGTCGAAAGGATTGTTGGGCGGCAATATCTTTTTATGGTTAAGATTCCATCAGACTATGTGGGTGGGTCATCATTTTCATGTCGAGTTATACGTATGATTGATGATAGAGATGTTATAGATACTTATCTTGTTTCTTTGAACGACTACCATGATGGCTCCACCCACAATCCTGGCGGAGCTGTTGAGGAGCAGGTTTGCTGTCATGACTCATGTCCCTTATCGTTGTGCTTTTCTCTGTATAACTTCAACAGTTAACCCTTTTGGGCATTCTTTCAAGATGCAGATTTGTCAATGTTGGATTCGCAGGGCACCAGCTCATCGGTGGTCAGTGGTAGCGATAAGAGCGTGAACGCCACAATAACCCGGGAGGTAGACGTGGATGAGCTTGCTGGGGACCCACAGCCTTCAGCTAAAAAGAAGCTCAAATTTGTTGTGAAGGAGTAGAAGCTGTGAAGGTTTCACTTATGCAGTCCTGGGATATTAAGTTATGTTAGTCATAGGGTGTTTTATATTTGTGTTTTGGCTTGTGTGTCATTCTTCATTTTGTGGATGTCTTAGTCTAATGTTGTTTACTATCTATTAGTTTGGTTTATGTTCTCTATTTGTTTCAGTGTCTTTATAGGGAACTAATGTATTTTACTTTTGTTCAATCCATCTGTAATAATGGTTTTTCTTATGATATCTTGTAGCTTTTTCTATTTGTGCGACTTCGTGACTCTATTTGTAATTTATATCAGGGTGAATCAGGAAAGTTAAATCACTGATAAGAACAAATAAAATTGAAGATTAAAAATCTATACAAATTGAAATTTAAATAGCAATGGGAGTTAAAATTGAAAAATTTTAATATTAATGGAAGCCAAAATAAAAATTTACATATGAATTAATGGAAGTTAATCGAAAATTTGAAATTTAAATATTTATGAAAGTTATTTAAAAATTTCTGAGATAATAATTAAGAATTTATTTGGAAGATTGAAAATTTATATCGGATATCATAGGAGTGTTTAAATATTTATGGAGTTCACATATTAAGTTTTTATTTTGGAGTTTGAATCACATATATGGGATTAAAAAATCTATACCTGTTTAAATTTAAATATTAATGGAAGTTAAAACTGAAAATTTTAAATATTAACGGAAGCCAAAATAGAAATTTAAATATGAGTTAATGGAAGTTATTCGAAAATTTGAAATTTAATAGTAGTGGAAGTTATTCAAAAATTTCTAAGAAAATTTTCAAGAATTTATTTGGGAGTTTGAATATTTATATCGGATATCATGGGAGTGTTTAAATATTTCTGTTATAACTATTTTGCAAATTTGAATTTGCATATTCCTACTTATTTCCACTATCTATCTCTTTTTTGTGGAAGAATACAGGTATCTTACTAGTAATATTGCGCATTCTATTACTCTTAGATTGTAATGTACTGTTTGACTCTATCAAAAAAGAGAAAAATATTATGTTAACCCGATGCGAGGTAGATGAAAACAGATTATAAAGAGTATTAAGATAGGAGTGGTAATGTAATCTGCCCCAATCAATGCAGTTTTTTTCTCTAAGAGACACAGTTCAATCAACAATATAGTAGCCAAACAGGTCACCCACTCTATGCGACCTATGCAAGGAAATAAAGGTTATATGGTAATAAAAATTGATCTAGAGAAGGTGTATGAAAGAGTAAACTGGAATTTTCTGCGCCACTGTCTTGTGGAACTAAATCTACCAAATCACCCGGTGGAGATCATAGACAATTGCATCACCACAGTTTAGTATTGCTTTGGGCTTTCAATGGTAGCAGATTTGGGCAAATATCTTGGAGTAGCTTTGGATGAGAAACAGGTTATAAAGGAGAGTTTCCATGAGATCGTTGACAGAGTCAAAAAAATGGCTTTCAAACTAGAGAGCTAAAGCCCTTTCTCTTGCCAAGAGAACAACTCTTCTCTTGGCAGTCACCTCAACTATTCTGAGCTATACCATGCAAACATCTTCTCTTCCTAAGCAATTTAGAAGACCAACAGAGCCGTCATATAAGGCTCCACGGCAAAAAAAACTGGAGAAAGACCCATTTAGCAGCTTGGGAGATGGTTTGCAAACCCAAAGCACATGGCAGGTTGGGAGTTAAATGCATGAGGCTGCAGAATCAAGCATTTATGGCTAAACCTGGTTGGAACCTAATCAAGTGGCGTGAAGACCTACGGGTTAGGGTGATAACGAGCAAGTATAAATGTGGTAATGACTTAAACCTTGCTATTGACATGGAATGACGAGGGTTAAATATGCTGTGTAGGGTACAAAGGAAGCTTGGAAGTACGCAGAAGAGGGGATTGTGATTGACCATGCAAATAGAATAACACGCTGGAAGTATGAACGAAACAAAAATTTCAGCATCAAGAGTGCACAAGAAGCTATCACAAAGGAGTCTAGTGACAATAACAAAGAATGTGTCTAACACGGTTTGACCAGTGATGCTTCATGTGTGTGGTGCCATTACCACTTAAGAGTCTGTGACTCGTCCTTCGTGATTGTCCAACCACTGAGAGGTCGTGGCTTGAGCTGTTACAAGGTGCACTGAATAGCTGGTTTTTCAAAGCCAATAGTGAAAGCTAGATTAAAATGTACACCTTACACAGTCTTCTCTCTCACTTAAAAGAATGGGGTGAGCATTTTCTGCACAATTGTTTGATTGCTCTAGAAAAGGCGAAACCAGTATGTCTTTGAAGGAAAAGTTCATAGCAACGCCTCTTTAAAGGCTGTGGCCTTTTCCACCATGGAAGTCATCAAGTGGGCGAATGATGAGCTCTAGGGAGTAATGCCTAAAGGCAGCTGTACTGTGGCTAGTCAACCGAGTTGTACACCCCTAAGAGGGATGGATGAAAGCTAATACCAATGGGGACTACTCGGCACACACGGGAGGAGTAAGTGGAGGTGTGATTCGAAACAATCGAGGGGAGTTCATATCTGGTTTCATCCTTAGGGCTGCACTAGTGATGCTTTGATTGTGGGGCTTTGGGCGATTTTGTTGGGGCCTAAACTAGCCTGGGATTCAGGATCAAGACTAGTAGTATTAGAAACTGACGCAACTGAGGTTCTCAGGCTGATTAACGAGGCGAATCTCTCGACCCACATTGACGTGTCCCTGATTAAAGAAATTAAATCTATGAGAACCAGAGAATGGACAGTTGTCTTCGAGCATACTCTGAGAGAGAGCAACCAAGTAGCAGACCTTTTTACCAAGCTTGCTATGGTCACGACGCTAGGATACCATCCTATAGTAGTAGCTCCTGACGTGGTGGTGGAAGTGATTCAAAAAGACATGGAGGGGAGCGATGACGATGGATAGTCTATGAGAGCTGTATTTCTCATTTGGTATAAGAGAGATAGGAATAGGTGATCATCCCAAACTTATCAGATGTAAACTGTTTAGATTTGATGTATATGGATTATCAAGATTTAAAATTTTTAATTATTTATTTTTAAATAAAAAATTATTTTTTAAAACCAATTGTAGTTAAGAAATTATCTTTATTTTAGATTCTATACCTATCAAAATATTTATTTTAAACAAATATGATTAGTGTAATATTTGGTCTTACAAATTTGGACCTATTTTGGTTTTGGTTCATGAGATTTCAAATTTGTGATTTTAGTCCTTAGAATCTACTCTATTACAAAAAATTAGCCCCTAACCATCAAGTTTTTCTGAGCTGGCACAAATGGTGTTAGTTTGGATGATGTGGCTACGTAACAACATGAGCTAACTAATAAGGTGACATGATGAGCTGGACATGTAATTAGGAAAAGTAAAAAAGAAAAAAAGTCAGGTTTGTTTAAAACGCAGCACGTGAGCACGCAGCACTTGACTCTTTTTTTTCCCGTTCCTAATTTCATGTCAGCTCTTTGTGCCACCTAACATTAGCTAAGTTAGAAGCCACATCTCCCAAACTAATACCGTTTATACCAACTCAGCAAAACTTAATGGCCAAGGGCTAACATTTTGTAGCGGAGTAAATTTTAAGGACCAAAATCAAAATGGATTCAAATTTGAATGACCAAAAATTATATTAACCCAAATAAATAAAAATAAAACGGAAATCAAATCTAAGATAGTCCAAATCAAATATGAACAGTTCATATCTGATGAGTTGAGTTTAAGGTGCTCATCTAAGTGATGAAGACCTAAACTGGTCTGTAGTAATGATGGGTTAATATGTTGGTTGCGGACTGGCCTGCCGTGATATACACACTATAATTGGACATTTGTGGTGCCTTTCTAATGCCTCCCATCCTTATCATTAGCAATTAATAATAAAAAATGAAATTAATTAAACTTAATTATTTTTTATATAATTTTAAAATTACTTTTTACAAAAATTATTAATTAGCGCAGTTTTAATTAACTACGAAATTTTATTATGTTGAAAAAATTAATACTTTAGGTCAAGCATATTATATTTTAAAATATATTAGAATTTTTTATGATAACGACTTGAGGAAAATATTTTACAAAAAATGTACTGGCAATGACAAATTTAAAACAAGAGCATTTTAGTCATTTAATTATATTTGCAAAATATCATATCAGGCATCACTTCCTTTCCTGAGATTTTGAAGTGTTAGGTGCTTGAATTGGGATTTTATTTTTTGTTGTTCTCTTTTTCCCATTTTTTCCCTTGTATTATGAATAAAATAGTGTTTATTTGGGTGGAGCTAGACAGGATAGGGAAGGGTGGGCTTCTCTGTACAAGTGGTGGCACCCTATCTATATTATGTCTTCACCTTACTTAATAAATAACGTTTTGGACTTTAAATACAAATTCACATATCGATCTATCATTTCATATTTTCTTATAATTACATAATCAACCACAAGATGGTAAGTTTTCATACGGCATCCATGATCATATATGTTAGCAACTTAAGTCTTGAAATATTTCATTCTACCATATATGTGTATTACATATATATTATGCAATGATATAGTGAATATATGTGTATTATATATAATAAATAGCATTATATATATAGACTTTGGACATGACCAAATGGGTACATTATAGTACATTGCTCAATGCCCAGCCCTACTCGACATTTGAATCGGCCCAAAAATGCTCAATTACTTTTCAGACTACCCTTTTAAGACTGGGCTGAGCATAATTTTACCAAGCTTGGATGAGCATTGTGAGCTTTTAGGCCTCATAAACATCTCTATTTTATATATATATATCTTTTGTGTAAAAAAATACAACCCCTTGTCCTTAATATAAAAGCTAATTAATTAATTTGGATAAATTAAAGAAGACAAAATAAATCAATTAATTATAACAAATATGATATAATTTTCTTAAATTATATTATCCCAGTATAACATTAAATTTTATATCAACTTATAAGTTAAATGAACCAGTTTGGGAAAAAATAATGTATGAAAGACAAAGAGGATTAATGTTTTATACAACAACAACCAAACTTTATCTCATTACATGAGGTTAGTTTTATGGATTGCACAATGACATTAAACTCTATTAATGACCAAATCTTTGAATGGGTTGTTAATCAAAAGATCTCGTTTAATAAATTTATTGAGTTCTCTTATATTTAGACCAAATATGGCCTCTCATCTCACTTTTATATCATAAAAGGAGGCCTAGGCTTAAAAAAACAAAAACAAAAGATAAAAAGGATAGCAGGCAGTAGTATTTATGTATAACGCTTTGGATATAAATTGTTTGTGTTTCAAGTAAATTAAAAGGGGGGAAATAAAGTAGCATCCAGCACTCTAATTTATTTCTTAAGTATAATTAACAACGTAATCTTATTTTTAGTGTATCCAATATCATCATGTTATTTTCTTGGTGCATTTGGCTCCTAGAAGTTATTTTTTTAGTTATCTCTATTACCGTAATCTTGTTTATGATTTAATGTGTTGGATATATTATAAATAAGATTAAGGTGGTGGAAACATAAAAAAAAAAATAACATTGAGGTGTTGGGTGCATCATAAATAATAAAATTAGAGTACTTGATACACTTGAAAAATAAAATCAAAATACTAGATGTTATTTTATCTAAGAAAAAAGAGCTTAATAACAGTTGCTCAAGGCTCAGATTTATAGAAGTCGGTCTTTATTTAAAGTAAGATGTATTACACGTACGGTAGTAGTCAAACATGCTTCGATCACACTCGCATACTGGCATGCAAGCCTAGTAGCTTGCCATTATTCATACATATTACATATAGTTTTCTACACAGATTTGGCCAAGAGACTGTTGAATGTCCTTGACGCAGGATCTTGGCATACACATTCACAGACTTTTGTGCCCAAAGCACCCTTTATCTCAGTGCTATAACTGGTTTTCTCGTCATAGTACCTGTTCCAGAGCATGACTCCTCCGAAGTTTGAAGATTCCTTCACTGTCGGAAGAACTTCAGACTTGAGCTCTTCTGGTGATATGTAACCGCTGGATGCTGCGGATGGCTCGTTCGAAGCTACTAAACCCAAGAACACTGAGCTATTAGCTAAACCTGGCTTTGACGTCCATTTCGCCCATGATTCAAGAAGGTTTGTGAAGTCGTTGTTTCCTAAATATTCGCACTCAGCCCATTGGCCATAATATAAAACCCAAAGATAATCAAAAAGACCTGTGTCGATTGCGCTGTCCAAGGCACTGGCATAGCAATGTGGGGCTCCTGAAATGTAAATCTTTTCGTCTTGGGTCGAACCATTGATCGCCCTCACAAGTTCGTCCCATGGCTCTGAGCTGTCTTCAATGTGGGCAAGATCGATGCCGTCCAAGGTCACTGCTCCGAGAGGGCCTAATTTGCCGCTGAGAAACTTATCGTAGAGATACTGTGCCAAGGAAGTAGGGTCATCGACGGCATCCACCTCGACGGAAAGAAAGACTTGGATGCCTTTGCTTTGACAGTGTTGGATTTGTGAAGCTAGGGCGGCGCAGTTGCCGGAAGGACAGTGGTCACTCAGGTCTAAGGATGTTGTGTTGCCGGAAACATGGAGGTATGCGATGACGACGATGTTGTAGAGATTAGAGTCGCATGTGTTGGTTAAGGTTCCTTCACCGGATTCGCTGTGTTGTCCCCAGTAGACGGCGATTTTGCCACCAGGTTTGTTCGTGGGACAATCAACGGCATGAGAGGGTTTGACGATGATGATAGAGGACAGTGTGAGGATTGAAAGAAGGAGAATGAGAACTGGTTTGTTGGAAGCCATGATCGATGATGGAAGAGGGTAAGACTGAAGTTTTTTTGGTTTAACTTGGGGTTTCATGGCGTAATGGACAATGCATATTTATAAGAGATATGAGGGCATGGGAAGGACAAACGAGGCAACAACAAATTTTATATAATATAGGAATTATGATAATATCAGTTACTCCTATAGTCCGCAACAGAAGAGCCACATGAACTTGAATTATGTAATTATAACTAATATGATCTGATCTCTTTAAAATAATTTTATTTAGAGCCTATTTAGAATAACTTATAAGTAAATTTTTTATCGTGATTTACGAAATACAATGTAAGTATGTGAAAAAAGTTTTATTTCAGCTTATGTAAAACGTGCTTCTAAATTATTTCTAATGCTCTACCAAACAGAGCCTTAATGTTAGATTATGGTAAATTAGCTAGTTTGAAGAAAAAATAAATAGGAGAAATAAAATGGATTGATTGATTAGTGGTCTTACCCTCATGAGGAGGAGAACACAAGTTTGAACCTGGAAACTTGTTACAAGAATTTTAACTTTTACGCTTCTGACTCAATAGAGATTAGTTTCAAGTCTCAAGTAACTTGAGGATACTCTGAATTATACTAAAAGAACTCTTTCTCCTTTGATCTTATTTATAAAGAAAAGAGAGAGAAACTTTTTTATCCTATTTATAAGACACGTAATTAAATTTTTAAAATGAATATACAATTTTATCCTCTATTTATTATTGTGTGGGCTTGAGTCTTATAGACTATATTACATATTAATAGGAATAAAATTAAGTTGTTAAATTTTAAGATAAAATTGATGAGATTTAAAGTTTTTTTTTTTGAAGTGCGATGAGAATGAGTTGTAAATATAGTACTAAAGCAGCATATAGAAACAAGGAATATTAATTATAACAAGCACGTGTATTATATGGGCGGTCGATAAAAATTCACATGAATCTTATCTCGGCGAAGTTACAGCGAGAGGAATTGTATGATTTCACGATGGTCTCTGTTTTTAACCCGTCGCTCACAAGACACGTACTGCATTCACGGGCTTCATTTTTAATATATTAAGAATAAAATTATAATACTTTTTCGGTTCTTAATATAACACCTATTTAACTAATTTGCAGGCTTGAGTCTTATAGACTATATTACATATTAATAGGAATAAAATTAAATTTTTAAATTTTAAGATAAAATTGATGAGATTTAAAGTTTTTTTTTGAAAGTGCGATGAGAATGAGTTGTAAATATAGTACTAAAGCAGCATATTAGAAACAACGGAATATTAATTATAACAAGCACGTGTATTATATGGGCGGTCGATAAAAATTCACAAGAATCTTATCTCGGCGAAGTTACAGCGAGAGGAATTGTATGATTTCATGATGTTCTGTGTTTTTAACCCGTCGCTCACAAGACACGTACTGCATTCACGGGCTTCATTTTTAATATATTAAGAATAAAATTATAATACTTTTTCGGTTCTTAATATAAGACCTATTTAACTAATTTGATTAGATTAAGAAAAGATAAGTTAGTTAATTATAATAAAAGATATATTTTTTTTCTAAAAGACCATAATCATTTTTCTTAATATCCTCTCTCGCTCTTTTATTTGATTATAGTTGAAGGAGTATCTATGGGGATAATTTAGAAAAAATTGATAAGTATGAAAAATAAATCTTATATTTAATATCAAAATAACTTAACAATTTGGTTCTATATTGATAATAGGAGGAATATTAACTACTTTAGAGCATTGAATGTGTTTCTTTTCGTTTTTGTCGGGGGGTAATGAATTGAGATCCATCATGCCGCCGGAGAGTCCATGAAAAGCACGTTGAGAATGAGTTATAAATATTAAATAACACAACAAATAATCTCATACTCTATACAAAATGCAAGAAGCACTTGGTAAATTAGTTTGAAACATACTTCAAGATCCTAAAAACAAATTTAATATAAAAATGTTATAATACTCGTATTAATTATTCCCCCGTGTACTAAGAGCTACTAAAAATACTATAATTGTTACTATAATTAGTGAGAATGATGATACTGAATTTTTTAATGTTAATAAAATATTGCTAAATATTATAGTATTAAGTTTAATTTTTAAAACAACAATAATTATTATAAAAAATTATTATTTAAGACTAATAATTTTAAAGTTAAAAAACTAAAAGCATATCTTTTAAGTTAAGAAATTAGAAGGCCAAAAATATGCTTTACCCAATTTTTTTTGTTTTGGGACGGGATGTGAAAGTGAAAGTAATTTTGTGTCCCCGCTGTACTCGTGAGATGACGTAGGCCCGTACACTTTGGAGCAATAATGTAAACGAGGGACATGAGGGTGCTGCCACGCAAAAATATATATTATCTCCCGTTATTAATATAAAAATTAGTTAATTAATTTAAAAAAATAAAAAATTAGTTATGTTAGTTATTTATAATAAATGGGTATTGTCTTTACTAAAACTCCCTTACTAATTATATGTAGTAGCTAGAATTACTGTTTAATAAAATATTAATATATACAACTACTACAAATATTATCTCAAAAAAATAAATATAAAAGATAGAATATATTAGAGTATTATATTTTGGACCGAATTAAATATCTAACCAACTTTTATATTAAAAACTGGAGATAATATTTATTTGGAATGACTTATATTAATTAAAAATTTATATCAAAACTTCAAATAAACGCTACTAAATTCACAACTTGTTGATAATGTAATTGTTGTTCACATAGTTGGAGCTTTTATTACGTCTAACTCTGTGACTCAATTAACTAAGTTTTAAAAAAAAAAAAAGAAAGTTACTAAATTAAAATTTTTTAATTTACAACTAGCAGATGGTAAGCTTAAGTTTTAGGTTATCAAAGTTTTTCAATAATGCTGTACATAGTGGTAGTTTGTTTCTTTTTAATTTTCTTTTTTTCATGAATCTCCTAGTGCGTAAGAAGTTTCTCGCTTCTGCTATGGGAATAAGAGGGCTACTACTACTACTATTATTATTAAATCTCTAATAATTGAGTTTTTGTTTGATTTCTACATGTGTTTGATTATATCTAGATGTGGATGTTAATTAACTCGATCAATTCCCGTTTCCAAAAGTGCTTGCAGTTGGGATTTTTTTCCTCTCATTCCCCTTCCTTCTTTCAAAATATACCCAGATGTTTGTTGCCTTACTTCATCTAGTTATACTTGTGTGTGTGTGTGATCCCTTAGCATAGAGCGTCTTTAAGAAAGAATTAATGGTTTTATATATAAATCACCTGGGGAGACTTTAATTATTTTTTAAAAATATTTTCCTTATTGCAATTTAATAAAAGATAATAATAAAAATAAAGATAAAAAATTTTTTTGCTTTAAAAAAAAAGTCAGTAAGTCAACTATTTTTTATCTAATAAAATGATTAGAAGTGAGTTATAATAAAAACTGAATGAAGGAGTAATATTAATAACACTAGTTTTTTATTTGCAAAAGAAGGCAATACTTATGTAGAAATTATAAATTCAATTTGCTAACCAGAGGCCAGGCATACCATTATTTTTATGACGTGAATTAGTCGTGCAGAGTTGATCCCCAAAAGTTGGTGAGAGGAGAAATCAACTTTCTTTTTTAGCAAATTTACAAAAGAATTTAAGTAAATTGGGTCTCAAACACTCAACATATTTAGAATATACCTTTAAACTCAAACTCAAAGAGTACTTACAAAAATTCTTATAAATCATTCACCAATAAAATCTTCATATTAATAAAAGATTTGAACTCATTATGAGTTATAAACTAATTTTTTATCAATCAGATCAACTTTTATATGTACACTTGATGAACTTTTGAAAGGAAGAAAGGTCAAAACAAAACAAAACAAAAGACAACGTACCGACTGGCAAATAGCCAGGCCAGGGCCAACCTTCGTACTGTGGCCATTCCAACCCACACAACAAACGTGCCCTTTTGCTTTTAGAGTTTTTTAACAGCAGCTAACTTTTTTATCGGCAAAAACAAAACAGCAATTGACCTAGCCAATTAAATTAGGTCTAGCTATAAAAAAATTAATTTTCACAAAGTGATAAATTCTCTAAAAATACTCATATTTAATATTTGATAGTGTCTTAAATAAAATTTATTGTAATAAAACAATAATTGTGTGTAGAAAAAAATACAACTTGTTGATATTGTAATTGTTGTTCACAAAGTTGGAGCTTTTATTATCTTGATAAGAAATATTAATTAAGTTGCGGGTTTATATTAAGTAGGACATTCGGGCTGTTGAATACCACTCGCGTTACGTGGTTTTCCCGTCAGTCTCTGGTCTGAAAAAGTTACGGGTTTATATAATAGTACCCCACACTGTGTCTCTAAATTAGGATGGACCGTTCTTGAAGCAATAACATCGAGTGAGTGTGAGCCAAATCATACGGGGTTAATTGATAATATATATATATATATATGTATATATATGTATATGTATATCCTTCAGAACGCATATTTCCTTTTTACATGTAAAGGAGATAATTTCCAATAATTCTATTACTCCCTTTTGTCCATAATATAAGCTTGAAATAACTAATTCACAAATAACAAATAATTAGTTAAAATTAGTTTAAAATAATAAATAAGTTAGAAATATATTTTATTTTCAAATATGCCCTAATAATAAATTACTAAAAAAACGATAGAAAATATGTGAAAAAATATGATAAGAGAGATTATGGCAAAAGAAAGAGAATGAATAATTAAGAGTAAAGTTAGAAAAAGTGCATTAAATGTTAAAACAAACATCAAATTGAAGTTTATAAAATAGAACACATTCTTCTCGTAATTTGAAGCTCATAAATAACAACGGAAGGAGTATTTGTTATGATAGTTAATAAAAAAAAATAAAAAACAACCACAACGTCATGTTGGGTTCTGTTAGAACCAATGTCCACGCATGATCAATTGTATATTATTCCTCTGATCCTAAATATAAGATTCTTTTTGTAATGAGTATAAGAATGTTATATTTAGGACCGGAGGAGTATATTATTTATCCTACGCATTTACATT